CGGTGCTGAGCTTTCGTCCGTCATGTGACGGACATCGTCGGATCAGGACGTCAGACTTCACGATAATTCACTAAGCGCAAAGTCAAGAAAGGTGGCCAGCTGCAATGCTACCTACTTTTGATATCCTAGCTAGGTCAACTTAGTGAAACATCTTATGATTTCTTTGGAGTTTCTATACTTTTTCTACATTTTGTTGAAAAGTAAAGTAGATGGGGATGACATGTGAAGTGTCTGTAAATGAAGCGTGAAACGGATGCAATTGTGGCTGAACAGCTCGCCTAAAATACTTATATTTTTTCTGTTTGATCCTGAACTGGTGTCGCATGTGATTGCGTTCTATTGCACGTGCTTCGTGTGATGCGCGGGGTTATAGAGTTAAAACCAGATTTGAGGCTAATCAAACGCCCTCTTGCTCAGAGGTACTTCTTCTTACCCCCTGTCTTTCTCTAGCTATTTCCATTCAACTGCCACAAGTAGTTTCCACTTAATTTCCTACATTCATTCCTTCTATTCAGGGTGTTGGCCGTTTTGTTGATTTTTATAGATTCCATAATTTTCTTCTTGTTGATGTATTATCCATATACAGTTAAGTGTTTAGCATTAGACCAGTCTATATGGTGCCCTGTGTGAGCTGTGTTCGGCCATTTCTGACTTTTTGACCCACAAACCTTTAGAAGCTGTTTTATGTTCAGATATCCACATATTTGTGGGTCGACAGGTATACCCCACATAGACACCTCATGAACACAAAATCTTATAGCAGCTATATTTGGAAAGTGGGTCCGAAATTTCCCGAGAACATGCCGTTACTGAGGAAGCTGTTATTTTCTTCTTATAAATGGTGTCCTGCTCCGACGATGCCCGTAACATGACGGAAGAAAGCTCGGCAAGGGTTCATCGGGGTCGCAGGGCAGTGATCCGAGGACTTGTTCGCACAAATCTACAATCACAGCTTCAAGGAAATCCCCCTACATCTTCTGGTGAAACTAACTTAAAAATCTCTTCCACTCGCCTCTTTAATGAAATTAAAGGTATTCTAGCATGTAATTATTTCAAGATTCTTCGAAAAACAATTTTTCTACATATTGTCATTTACTTATCAGCCAAAATGCGAGGTAAACAGCATCCTATAATGAATCTTCGCTTACAGTCTTAAAATGTGCCATTAAGGGGAAATAAATACTTATTTTAATAGTCGTAATAATGAGGTAATACTTTATCTAACATTTTCTATATTATCAGAACGCCTCTCCTCAATG